TGCAGACCATAAACCACAAGTGTTAACGCCCTCAAATGGTTCTGATAGTGCCTGATTTTTGGTAAATTAATAGTTGTAATTAGTGACAACTGATAGAATATCAACTGCAACAGGCTAATCATTTCATTGGCAGAAAACATTTACATTTTGTGAGGGCTGTCGTCACTTGTGCTGCATGGTCTGCACCCGACGCTCTTCTCGTTTTTTTTTTGAAGTGAGTATATATTCAGCTTTACTCATTATATTCCAAGACAATTTTCTAATTCAAATAACCTTCTCAAAGCTTTTCTAATTCGAGAAACCTTCCTCAAACAAAAAAAAATAGAACTCGTTTTCGATTTTTTTGGTTTCGGTTCAAACACACATCGACTTCAGAGCGGCACACAGCCGATAATTCATTCGGATCCATTCGTTTCGGGACGTTATGGCTACAAATTCATCGCTAGCGCGTGTCTCTTTGGAGACGGACAACGTGAGTTCCGATGGGTTTTTTGGATTTCATAGAAACATGCAAAGGTTCCCGACGAAAACCACGGGTAACAGTGGATGTCTCACTCAAAATCTTAACGATTTTACATGGAAATCATCAGAAAATCAATACGTGTCGTACTCCAGAGAAGAAGCTTGATTTTTGTCAATAAGGGTGATAGCTCACCGAAAGCGGCTGATCAAAATAGTAAAGATTTGTAGTGATTCCTAATCTTCAATAAATGCCATGCACCTTATTTCCGCCAGAATAAAAGTATCCTCCACTGAAAGCCTATGGGGTACGACTTCCAGCCGCCTAGCTGCTTCCTTCCACTTTCATGTCAAGACATCTGTCGCCTTTCCATGTAAACTTTCCGTCCATCATTCACTGCGTCCTATTCTGAGGTTGCTCCTTTTCTAGGAACTGACCAAAATTTTCTCCCAATCACTATGTCACAGTGCGTTTCAAAAGTATGTGCACACCCTCAAAATTCACGTTTGAAAGGGAACCATGAGGTTTCGTGCTATGAAATCCTTCTCAATCGATTTCTCGTAGTCGATAACCTATCAATGGAAGCAAAGCAGATAATATCGCCTTACTTTCGAAAAAAATTTTGGAATTTTCTTTGTTTCAAAAGTATGTGCACACTTAACAAAAGACAAAAACATAGCTGAGATTAGAAATCAGTGGGGCCTCCAGAGTTTCTAATTAGCTCAAACATCCTGTCCGGCATAATCTGAACCACGTTTGGCATAGCTGTTTCGTCGCTGTCGGCCCAAATAGCCTCTACCGCCGCCTTCAGTTCATCCGCGGTTTTGTACTGCCGGTTGCTAAAGTTAACGCCTTGATCAAGGGCTCCCTATAGGGTTGCAGTAAGGAGACACAGCACCATCGCTTCAACACTACAAAGCTTTAGCTGTCACACGCGATTATGGAAACGCAATTCCAACTTCTCCGCTGCTTACGAAAGCAGCCAGACCCAGTAAATCGCAGCTTGATCTCGAATTTCCTTCTGGAGTACACGAGTAATTCGCGGCCAAGCCTCTAAAGCATGTCGTGAAGCGGACATAAATCCTGTAGTTCTGCTCATAACTTATGCATAGCATTCTTGTGATCTCTTTAGGAACATATTGTTGAAGCTTCCACTTACATGCTCAGGCGTTGATTGCAGAAGACCAGGCCTTGTTACAGGATTACTCAGAGAGAAGTTTCTAGTGAATGATTTGCGAACAGCTTACCAAACGTGGACCAAAGCCTTCTGCTGATTTTGATGATTTCCAGCCCCTTTCTATCGATTCAATCCACTGTTGCTTTTGCAGTTGGTTAGCACAGAACCCCACTTCTCATCTGTACTAGCGGCGTTCTTCAGCCACACCGCGTACAGGTGGAACAGAGTTTGAGATGTAGATTGAACCCTCCACGCAATTTTGTTATTAGCGAAATTATGGGGATTTTTTTTATCGAAGCTTAAAGGCAAACTCCGGGATAAACGTGGTACTTATCTGTTCAAACTATGAAGTACTGGGTGCTAAGTGAATTGAAGCTGAAGAAAAAGCAGAAAGTACTCTCAAAGAAGTCCAAAATAGAAAGTTCTCTTCGTTAGTCGCTTAAAAGTCAGGGCTGGGAGAATTACGTGTCTTTACGTGTCTACAACAACTGTTGGCTTTATGCCAGCAACCGACACGGCTAAAAAAGTCAGCAATGAAAATTGATTGCTTCTAATTTCGCTATTTTTTCTATTTACCTGCGCTTTTTTGTTTTTTCCTATCTCAAAAATTAGACTATCACTAGAATGAAAGACTAGGTTCTCAATAATGGTCTTAACTAGGCTTTGATGTTGGTTTTCGCAATTGAAATCCGCTAAATATTCCTCTACGACCTTCCAAATAACAACTTAATATCTTGTGTTTTATGTGGTTGTTTGGAAGATCGCACGGAAAGTGGGCGGGCTCAATGGGGTTGGGGCGGCGCCAATGCTCCAACCTGGGCTCCCAGCGCCTAAACCTTGTCAAATCGCCCCGCCACTTCTGCACATGGTCTGCCCTTGCGTACTGCTGCATATTTGACGGGGAAACCTAAATTTCGCTCGGAAACCCCGAACTTTGCCTTATAAACAGTTTTGGGGGAGGGCAAGACTCTATCGTATGCTGAAAAAGGTCTGAGGTGAATAGAGTTAGCATCCAAAGTTACCCTTTGCAGTGGGGCTCTTAAGACCGTGATTCCACAAGAAAAAGCAACCATTTCAAATAAGTCAGGTGATGGCGGTGGAAAAAAGAAGAAAAACTATGACATGGCCCGAACACTCACGCAATGGGACCGCTCTGCGTGTCGCCTTGATTCGACATTAAAGCGACTCTCATCGCGTCCGCCTTTCAACCACTTACGCTCTCATCTCTCTCCTATCTAATCACTTGCCACATATAGACCTAGGGCGGGTGATTAGATAGTCGGTGAGGGAGCGCGCCAACTGCGCCAAGATTGAGCCATGCTAGATCGCCGACGTACAATCTTTGCGACTACCCTGATTGCCTGTCAGTCTGCGACCCGTTCAAGAAAGTACACCTCTCTTGGCAACTAGGCTAATCCCTTCTTTAAACCTTTGCCCCTATCGTGGAATCCCCCTTTAAGGGGAGAGCACAGCAAGTCTGAACCGGACAGCGATTGTCTTCCTGAACCAGGATTTTTTCCAAGCTATAAACTCCTGAGTGAAACACTAACCATTCTGAAACCGCATTGTGGACGATAACAAGGTGTATCGTAAAGCAGGTGTTAATCACATTATATTTTCGGCCGGTTTGTGGCTCAGTGGGAGTTCTTAAATCGGCGTGAACAACATGGCCTTTTTCTTTACTCATTTTGAACTCGAAGAAAGCAGCTAGGACGGGTAATTCGTTTAAAATTATTTTACTTAGCTCCAAAGCTTACCTGAACATGTTAAGAAATCGCAAAACAGAGATGTGGCGTGAAATATAAAAAGTGGCACGAATTTTGATATATTTATTTAGATTTCTAAGGCGAAAGATACTGGAGCACGCTATTTTGTGTTATAAGAGAAACCGGAGTACACCGAAATCAAGAAAATACTGCGCTCTGAAAACGTTTTGTAGAGAGTTAACTTTCAGACCGAGGAAAGTATATGGCCGTTTATGTGACTCTAATCAGAGGCAAGTACGATGCTCTTCTCCAGTGGCCGTTCGATCTCACTGTCTGTATCACAATGCTTGACCAGGTACAAAACTTAGGAATTTTTCTACTCACATTCAAATTCATGAAGCCCATGAATGAAGCCTTGCCCTTTACCGCAGAATCCTAATTGGGAAAAACGGTGCGACATTTCATATCGTGTGGATGCGAGGAAAATCAAAGAAAAATCAGAGTTCTTAGAACGACCTTTTCCCGACAGGAATGGCTGGTTCGGTGCGCAGACATTCTGTAGACTAGCAATCATGGACAGCTTCATTCGAGTAAGTATTTGAATTGTAAATTGTAAGAAAGATTGATGAAAGGCCATCTCATGAGGTGCAGAGACAACCCAGCGCTATAAACCGTACCAATTCAGGACGACGTCATGTTTCTGAAGTTTGAAATCGAGAAGGTGAAAAGTCGAGAACTGGTTCTGAAGCCTTCTTCTATGCAGAATCCAGGCAATCCATCAAATTATGAATTGCCACCGAGAACACCGGCGACAATATCCAAAACAGAGATGCAGCCACCAAAAACCGCCAACGAGATGACTCCAAGAAATGATCCACTTGTAGAAACGTTGCCGGCACAGCCGGTCGAGCCACTTTCGCAGAGACCTCCAACGACCCAGGTATCTGCTCCAAAGCCTCCGGCCAGCCCATCGATTCCAACGCTGAGGCCTCCGTCCAGGTCGCAGCCACCTTCAGTTCCTGTGATCGTGACCGAGAAAAACGAGATAGAAGAGAGTGCAGAGTAGAAAACACGCCCTTCAACAGCTTCTCATACGACAAATCAAGTGACAGCAACTAAGAAGCATGCACCGCTTTCCTTTTATGGACATGCTAATCGCACCGATTTGGAGTCATACACGCATGGCTGACCGCTCAGAAAGCGGAATTGAAACTTCTTGCCCGCTGATTTCCGCATTGATGTGTCCCTTATCGGTGCTCTCTTTAGCGTTAATGCTCGCTCCACTGAAGGGCCAGAATCAGACGGCGAGTGGTTACCGGAGGGTGTGCGTCATATGGCGCGATCCCATTGGCATTGGAGGGCGCAGGCCAGGGTCAACCGTCACAATGGACCAATTTCCAAAATTTTACGACCTCCCCCTCCCCCTTCTAGAGGGCCTCGATACGACCCCCCTCAGGGTTAACCCTTCACGACCATCCTCCACCACCCTCGCCATCATGGGGCGATAGAAATTGATTCTGAGACCGATCGACACAGCCCCATCTCCGCCCATCTCTTCCTCCGAAATTACCATCGAGGCGGGAGAGGGGGGGGGGGGAAGGTCGCATTTATTTTCGCACTAAAAATTCCTAGCCAACAACCTAATAACGCTTCTCCGTTCCATAAAAAATCATCCCTTCCCTTACTGTAACATTGACGCTACCTCGCGAAATACGACCCCCTCTTTTCCACCCCCAAATACGACCCCCCACCCTCGTTGGACTTTGTCCACAGGACGGTTGACCCTGGCGCAGCCGTAATTTACCACACCCTCCTAGATGGCCGGGGACAAACTCGCTCAGATAAAGTGTGTACACCGCTACTCTTTTGGGGACCATTGAAATATATTGATTAGGACAAAAACCTGAAGGAACCTGAGCAAATTAAACACGAATAAAAGCAAAACGGGGCCGGGGGTGCCTAACTTAGTTGGGGGGGGCACCCGGAGACGCGCGGCTCTGTTGCGTCTTGCTCGCCACTCTAAGGCTTAGTCCAAGGGGCAGATACTATTTCGTCGCCACGTGGCAGTTCGAAATACGCGCCATTGAGCGGACTAAGCCTTGGAGGAGCAGATGACACAGAGCGCCGCGCCGCCGCGTGGTCCCCCCCCAACTAAGTTAGCACCCAAAACGGCACACAAAACATAAAGGATAAAGGATAAAGCATTTGCCGTTGATCAATCCCTTTTGGGATGCGATTCCATTTGTACATTCGTAGTGGCGTTTGAATGCGATGTGGCCTATACAATGACTTGCGGGGGCCAGCCGATGTACAAGTCAGTGTTTTTTATCCTCCCAGACAAGTCTGGTACCAATTAACCGACCCCGGAGGGATGGAAGGCTTGGTTGGCCCGGGCGACTCACGACCCAGGATTTGATCCCCGGACCGCTCGCGTGGTAAGCGTGCCACTTGCCTCCACACAAAACATAAAAAAAAACAAAGAGGAAAACATATTGAGACTGAAATTATCGATCGGAAGCTACCAACTATACGCCAAATACGCATCTGCGCCAATTGCGCCTGCTTAACGCTCCCCACTCTCTCCGCACCGTCCGCACGGACCGCACCGCGCCAAGTATGAGAGCAGCCTTAGAGGGGACCGCCTGCCTTTCGTTTCCCCTTCGACCTTATCGCGGAATCCTTCTTCAATTGAAGATAGGAACAGAGATATTTCCCACAATAAAAAATTACACAGTTCTTCTAGAACGTCAAACTGTCTATATGTAGTTTTTATACGAGCTGCACGAGTACTTTGTATTCTTCAACGTTTACCCGTTTGACGGCGGGATCCGCTTTCCGATATGCTGACACTACTTTCCCTACGCTTGATCACGCTGAAGGCCAAGTGATTGCAAGTTATCATGCAGAGTATCAAACCAGCGCTATTTTAGGTCGCTTTCCGATCTCATCACGGCCGAAGTCTAATTACAAAAGCATGTACTGCGAAGCACGCGTTGGGTTGATACGGCTAATCTTTAATGACAGCTTCCTGAGATCTACGTCGGATTTGATGGAATTGGAAAGCGACTCTAAGGAGCGCTGGAAACAACATGATGGTAGTACGATATTTCGATGCAGTATTTGAGGCATATCGTGGCGCTCCGCGGTCATCATTACATACTGCAATTGGCGGCTTTCTATCGGGAATGCCTCTTTAGGCGGGGCGAACTTTGTGGCACACGCGCTGTTCGCAGTGGGCCACTCGTGTCACAAACCCATGCCAAACGACCAGAAGCTACAGGGGTTCTGTGCCAACGCCATCGCATCAACCGGCCGATTATCCCACAGTATTGAACGTCCCATAGGCGTTGCTATTACTGCAGAAAATTCGTAGGGTGCGTCCGTTGCCAAATTCAGACACTTGCACTAGTGGTGGTTGATGGGCCACCAGGGCTTGACTATGGCACGATGGTTTATGCACTGTCCAACTTCACATTTATATGCTTTCGGTCTCCTTCGAAAGCCCAGGACCGTTCGCCTCAGCGTTCAAATTCGCATCAGGTTAATCTTATAACCGTCCAAATCGTTCCTTTGAATTTTTTAGTCACTCGCTATGACTGGCGCAGGGCGCCCAAAAGCCAAAAATAGACCAGCTACTCCAGCTTGTTTGCTGTTTTAAACTTTTGGTGGCTTATTTTTGCTATTCAGGAACATGTGGGCTTCCTTTAGTATAGTGACAGTCAGCTAGCAGAGTGTACTATGCCTGCAAGTTTCTGCTGCTAGTGACCGTAGTCTTGCACAGTTTTTACGTGTTTCTCAAACAAATTCCAACCAAGGTCGAGGCTTGGCCTGAACACAGGGTGAATATTGGTCGAGGATTCCTCAACGGCTTGTCGAGGATTTTCGCCTGATCAGTTACGCTCTCCCGCGCGGACATTCACACTCGCCATGCGCGAGCCGTCTGTGCTCTCCGCGCGTACGTTCACTCTCGGCACTACTCTCGCACAGTACAGAGCCATGGTCGAGGATTCCTCGACCGTTATTCACCCTGCCTGGACGGAAATTTCATGTTCAGTGGTACACGACACCCGACAAATTGAGCCAAAAAATTAGGATCCCCATGGCCTATGCAAATGGATTTTATTATACCTGACCAAAGGAACTAAGCTAGGAATTGGCTCTAGCATTTTACGAAATCTCAATACATCGCTCGATGAAATACCCTTTCGAAAAAGTAGAATATTCAAGACATTTATAGTTTACATTATAATGCAATCTTTGTACAATGAATACGATATTTATGTAACACTCCTCTTAGGTTTTTAGTTGTTCCAGAATGTTCATCGCATCTTTGACTTTTGAGTGAAGGTCCTGAAGAGAAATGTCGAATCTCATGATAATAAATTCATCTTTTCGTGTATTGCACACTATCATTAATTTTGCCACATAATTAAGTAGTGACGAACACATTGGTATTAGCCAAAAGGAAGAGTCAAAAATCTACCACTCAGTGGAGAACACCACCACAGTGGGCATTTACGATAGAGCGGCATCTTTTCAATTTATTTTTCCATTGCTGGTCCATTTTACTAGGTACTATTGTACATGGAAAACTGCTCTAAGAATTAGCCGTAGCAACACTATAAGAAGAAATGACCGCAAAATCAACACGAAAGTATTGAACTATTTCCACACAACCCTTGCCAACACAACCGGAATTTTTGACTTGTTTTTTATCACTTGTTCTCTCAACGCTGCAATTAACGCAGTTGCAAATAAACTGCTTCGTTAGGACAGCTATTAGCAAACAAAACAAGCCAAAAACTGTAGCTGCTGCAGCTTCAGCTTCGCAGGTCAGGTGCCGATATCGGCTAACCGGCTCAACACGTTAGACGTGTGAGTGCTGAAAGCTATGGTACGTATACCATGAAAAGCTGAGTTGGAATGAAATGGTGCCCCGGTAGCGTAACTGGTAGCGCACTTGCCCGGAAAGCGAGAGGTGCGGGTTCGAGTCCCGCCTGAGGCGAAAGTTTTGCTTCACAACTCAACATTCTTGTTAAACATCCAAAGTAGTTTGAAAATAGAATTCATTAATCTGAAACACTAGAGCTCTTACCTGGAACTGATTGACATCGCAGTGGAACTCTATGGGTCGCCACTGTGCCTCATCAACTGGCAACACGTGAAGCTTGAAAGAGACCACCGGCTCGGAGCACCGATTCAGTAACTCTGTCTGGAAAAAAGCAATAATGTGTAAACAATCAAGGCTACAGTATAGAGCAGCTGATTGGTGAATACACTAGAACAGACCTGAACAACATTACGAACCGACCATTCGAAATTAACCAATTCTGCATAGTCCCATCCAACTGTTTCCAGCACGGAACGTAAATCGGATACAATTTCCTAAATTGCGCCTTGCACTTGGGAACAAAAACCGTTTAGCCCAATGAATAAATATTCATAATAGTAAACAATAATAGGAACAAAATAAAAAATAAAGTAATAAAAAAAGAGAGAAAGGAAATGAAATTATAATAGAAAACGCAAACCTTGGCCTTATAAACTCCACAGTTTTGCAGCCTGTTATAAGACAGATGTCAGACTTCGCATCGTCCGACTTTTTCCCCCTTTCTTTTTCTTCTCGGCTTCTCTTACAGAAAGGTTTTTCTGGTCGTGCACCGCTTCTCCAAAATGGCTTTTGCATTATATAGGGAGACATGGAGCACACAACTGTGCTTCATTTTTCCTCAGCGACCCCCCGAACGCCAAAATAATGATAAACGCTTGGTCTATGGTTCGATTCTCCCGGTGACAGCGGATACGAAGTTATACGAATTGATGCTCGCGGACGTCCTAAAAAATTGGTACCTGTTGCTAGTAATGGACGCCATATACCCATCGAAACCATGACTGACCCATACGAGTAGCTTTTTGCCAGCCAAAAAGGTGTGACACTTGGCTTTTTGGCCTGCTTCAGCATTCAGAGGACCGCTCAGGTAAAAATAAGCAGTAGTTCTTGTCCCTTCCTATATCATGCGCATAACCGTTTGCAAGAAGCGAGTCAGACCTGAATGACCTTCTTGGATAGTGTTCGATGTCCCGAGGAGAAGGCGAGCGTCCCCTCCTTTCAAAAGATATCATATAAAAGCGCTTCTTAGGGGCACTCACCCATCCTTTCGAGACATCGGGCACTATTTGGCTCGTTGGGTGCATAAAACACATAATGAGAATCCCGATCCGACGACTACCAAGCTTGATAAATGACAAGGAATGCCGGAGTAATAATTTTGTACTCCTACTGACTAGTATAGGGCGCCATTCGTTGCGGGACCCACTGCCTTAACCCGCGGGGATCCCATGCGATCGCGGTTGAATTCGAACATTCCAGCTTCTCACGCATGTCAAGTGACTGCCCTCACCCCCCACCCCCCTAGACTGGCTACACTGCCCCTGGCTCACGGATTCCCCGCTCCACATTGAAGGGTTCACTGTAGCAGGAGGCAGTGGGACCCGTAACGAATGGCGCCCTTTACTAGTCAGTAGGAGTACCAAATCATGGCTCCAGGAATGCCCCTCAGGTCGCCACGGCCATTCAATATGTGATGGATACCCTTATATGCCTCCTGAAACGCTGATCTCAAATATTCCTGCAAAACTGCTAAACGGTAGCAGCTAGCGGTAGCATTCTCCCCTGTGCAGTTTTAGGCATAAACAATCGAGATGTGAAGTTGATGTGGGACAGTGGGGCAGTTGGCAGCCGTACGGATTTGAAGGCGAAAGGTCACGGGATCGATTTCGCTCGGAGTTTGCTTTACCGATCATACTTCATCGATGATACCTTTATGGTCGCCTGTATAGTGACGCCGAGCTCACTCCTTCCATGTTCGGGCAATATTTGCTCATGATTGCCATGACATCTGCAGCGAATGAGCGAAAAGTGTTTCCATCGGAGGGGAACGATGCTGGTACTCAAGGATGTCTGTTAACCAATTCCTAGCCTGATCTGAGAGTCCGACACAACTTCGAAGAGCGAGGCAGGGTCCCCCAGCCCGTAGTTCTAATTGTGCCCAGACTTCATTGTAAGCTCACCTTACGGGTTATGTTGCCGACACCGATGGATTGACGTGGACAAGTCATTCTGGAGAGGAGTGACCTTGCGGAAGAGCCGATTCCATAAGCCTTTGCTCAATAGATCGCACTGCTTCACTGCGCTTTTCGGCTTCATAACTCCGTCCAGAGAATCGCTTGACAGATTGGAAAACAGCATATCAAGATGACATAGGGGTTCACATCTCATATTGAATGACCTGGCGACCTAGAGGGCTTTCCTTGTGAGGGTGATGAGACAGAGCATAAATGTTCGTGCTAGCCACTGGCTACAAAAAATAGGAAAAAAGTGATTTTATGAGATGAGAACACCTCACTTCATGAACTTCTCCTATAGCATTACAGAGCGGATGATCAGAATCCATCCTCTCCCTCAGCAACTCCACTGGCCAATTCTCGCGAGCCGCATCGGTTAACAGTACCAAGATACATGTTGCTAAGCGTTCAGAGCAAACTTCAGGTGACCCTACAATAGATGAGCTCATAGGATTCAAAAATAATTAAAAACAAACGCGTGCTCTCTGATTGACAAGGGCGTACTAGCAATATGCTGAGATCCACAAAACCGTTGGACAATTGGTATTGAATTTTAGCATTCCGAAAAGAAAAAATTCAACCCTAGTGGTTAATTTCCTTTGCTGTTGCTGTTTGGTACATGCGGCCATATTCACCATCAATGTCTTGATCTGAACTGAGTGAGCATTCTCAAATTAGACCTCGTACTATCGTGGAATCCTCTTTTAACCGTCATATACAAAGGAACCAGAGAAAATGACTGTAAAAAGTACAAAATTAGAATAACTAACACTTCTCCTGTCGCAGTAAAATCCCGCTCAACTTCTTGACGAGCGGGAGAGCATCTTCCTCTGATGGAGCTTCACCACTGGTGAGAACCTCTTTCAGCAAATCTATACCTTTACCTCTCATAAGCCTAGGAGGGTACATAAAATTCAAGTGAAATTAGAATGGTAGCCAAGATAAGAGTATACCCCAAATGCTCTCTAGGTAATGAGTAATAGCGATAACCGATAAACGGTTCCGAAGCTTCATGGTTAAAGATACATTTTTTATCGATTGAAACGTTTCGAAAACCTGGATCTGAGCAAATCAACCACAAGAATAACAAGTAACTCCTAAACAACCTAATTTCTATTATAACGCCCGTACACGGATCGTTCTCTGAATATGAACAAATAGCAACGTGCCTCCTTCTTTCACAAACTATGAAGTAGTATCAGCACTCATTTCAATACAAAAACTTAATTATCAATCGACGGCTATTTTTCATTTTCCACCTGTCGGTTTTCCCCTTTACTTGCACCTTGCTCCGCTTGCCTTCGCAGCTCTTCATCTATCCGTTCTTTAGCTCGGTATACCTAAAACACGAACTCATCTAAAAGTCGTTGTTGCTAAGAGGTAACATGAAAGTATACTAAGAGCAAAAACATACCTTTGATTGCAAATAGAAAGAGCCACCTTTGCTCTTATCGTTGATCGAAAATAAGTGCTCGTATTTTTGTTCAACTTCTTTAGGGTCGATAGGTGGTTTGACATTCAAAATTTGTAAGGACTCCTGAAATTAAAATGGCAGTATCGGAATGGAGTGGCATATACTAAAATATGAATATGATAAAAATAGGAGATGTATGCATAAAAATCGGGAAGCCAGTATAAAGGTTTGCAACTTTCAATATTTGAAACCGACGCTTGATTGAAAAACCAACGAAGTATTCTGTTCTCTAACTGTCCGCAATGCAATAAATTAGCTTAATGACAGCAATCACGATGGATGGAGGGCAGCGTGGTTTTAGTGACATCATTCAACGTCATTGGTGGGAGGAAGCTAAGAGACGTTCCTAACCACACTATCCATGGCCATGAGGTATAATACACCAATGGCTAGAGCGTCATTAAGCCACACCGCCCTCCAGTAACAACGCTGCAGAACTGACGATAAAAGATACCTCTAGGCTGATTCCAAGCCTTGCGTTAGCATTAGCATTATCTCTAGTCTCACTGGCTGACTGACCAGTTTTGGCACTATGTCGGGCTGCTGCATGTTGACTTTCTGGAGATAAACAAGTAAAAAAGTTATCCGTAAGTCACAGGGGCAAGGTTTCTGAAGGGTATAACACTCACGCTGTAATTCTTGCTTTATCGCTCTGGAAAGCGCCTTTGCCACCGCTTCTCCGGCCGCAAGTGCTACCTAAACCTCTCCAATCATGAAAATCTCATAAGCGAAAGGTAACAAACGCATTCACCTTGACTGCATGTCTCCACGGCATCGAAGTTACAGCCTTAAGTGTAGGAGTGAAGCGAATCGGAATATTTTTCGAAAAGAAAATCGGAGCTAGTAGACAATTGAGGATCAATTGACCATATTGCACTTCCAACACAATATCGAATACATTATAACTCTTTATCTTTACAAGTACAAATCAAATACAACTCAGCACTAGAATCTCTACTTGATTTAGGTTTGAAAACTCGTACTTGATTAAAATATTTCAAAAGTTCTAACATGAAGCTTTGCCGATACACACCATCCCATAATTTGCATATGAACAGACCGTCGGGAGACAGATCAAAAAGTGCTAGTTTAGTGGTCTCGAGGCATTCAGACGAAGAGTCTTGAGGAGGGGCAAAGAGGTGAAATACTGTTCGACACAAGTTCACCAATCTGAGATGGTCAGTAGCATTGTCACCTGAAAATAGGTTGTGTAATTTTCGATTGCAGCTTTATGACTTCGAGTGACTATTTCTCCCAAGGATATCGAAAACTAATGAAACTGATGAAAAGGATATGGCAGAAAGCTACATAAAAAATAATCAGAAAAAAAGCAACACAGCCGTAGAAACACTAAAAAATGTATTGCAAAAACATGTAGAAGTGAACTAAAAGGGTAAAAAATTTGATTGTGATGAAGGAGCACAACTAGCGAAACCGAAAACAGAAACGAAAAACGAGGTGCTAAATGGTGTGCTTGTAAAAAGAAAACAAGGAGAGAAGGAGGTCGCTGACACCCCTTCAACGTTCGTGGACAACATTATTTCACATGTACGCCATTTTTGTTCATTACAATTTTTTAGTCAACACATGAAAATTCGCGATTTTTGCTAGTCTCACTCTAGTTCTTGTTCTAGCTCTAGTTTGAGTCGTCAAAAAAGTGATGCTAGTGCATAAACATTCTTAACAATGACCCTCACGTTTTTTTTGTCGCGCATTACCGAAGGCAATACGCGAGTTTTTTCAAAAACAATAATTAAGCAGTACTTGTCCCTCAAGAGATCAATAACTCGAGCGCAATGTGGGCCGGGGTGGGGGGCCGACCACTTGTGTCACCCGCCGGCTGTAAGATTGCGCTCAGAATTTACAAAAACTTCATCTTTGAGACTAATTTGGAGGAAAGGAGGGAATCCGAGCTTCGTAAGCAATATTCATTCGCTCCGGAATTCGTACCTCTGCGTTTAGGCTCAGTCCCCAGTGAGCTTCCGACACACTGGCCTCCCCGGAGGCACGTTCCGCCCAAAACTCTTCTTTTGAAGGTTCCGCTGAGTGGTGCCTTTATTGCGTTTAAGTGCTTCGCTAAACCGTTGTTGTATTGTAGCTCAGTCGAGTAATTCCTTGGCGAATAGCGAGACTGGTCTCCCAATCTTTTCATAGTAATAAGGTGTTGATCGTTCAAATATATGGATTTGTGGTCGCGATTGCCTTTTTAACTGCGCCGTGTTTACCGTTCTCGGCGAGTATATGAGAGTCCGCCAACGGCTGCATTGTTTTCAATATAGAGAATGCCATTCTCGTGAAATTACCTCCCATCTATTTTCACTAAGCACGTCATTCTGCGAGTAGCAAAAGTGCTAATCATTTGTTAGAATCTACTTAGGACTTGCACAAGTCCCAGTTCCACTCCATGTTAAGACATCGCTCCCCTTTTAATCTCTCAAACTCACTATAAACAAAGAGCCATGGTAACGATGAAGAACCAAAATCATATTTCTTTCATGACTTCGTCGACCAACTGTTTTGGCATTTTTATCTGGCTTGTGAATAAAAAAACTCCTGTGGCGATTGCATAAGGCCACTGAATCCAGAAGAATGAGTGCCGAGTGTTCGTCCCCGCAACACATGTTATTGCCCTATCCTTCAAAATCCTCTCGTCCACATTTATTGTTTTTATTAACCAACTAGCGGTCTTCACAAAAAGTCTGTTCCACGGATTATCGGGATGTTCACGACGGTGTGACATTATCTGACATCTTCTCCATCGAGCGTTCAATTCATTCCACGCCTCTCAAGTACCAGGCAGCGAATTGACTAAGCTATGCTGTTTAAAGGGAGATTATGATACGTTGTATCAATCCATTATTCTCATCAATATACGTAGGTAGTGGTGAATTCTTCGAGGAGCTTCTCATTCACATTCATTATCAAGGGTCACCAATGCTCACAAATTCATTATTTCCATGAACACATTCCAATTATTATAGTTCGCTGACCTAGGCATGTGTTGAAAAATACAATTTACTCTTTGTTTAGTTTACTTTTTGTGCTGTGGCTGTTAACTTTGCATTTATACACATCTTGTCTCTGATTGTCTTAATCGCACCTTGAGCGCAGTAGTAAATAGACAAATAAATAAACAATTGTGGTTCCAGCTTGTCTCTCCGATTCCCGGAGCCGACATTATGTCTTCTTCGGACATCACATCCCCTGCTGTACAGCAAACAATAGCCAAGAAAATAAATGGGCGCCATGTTAATGTCGTGCTGAGTGATATGGCTCCCAACCCTAGTGGTACGTTTTTTGTTTCGGAAGTATTCTTTTTAATGTTTGTTGGGAAGAATCTAGATACTGTAAGGATCTGAATCAAGTGTACAGATACGAAGGATTTCTTTTAATTTTCAATTTCTTGGTAGTGATTCTGAATGATATAAATCGCTGTGAAGCAGATGTTCATAAAGAAGAAAGTTAAGTAGTGGAGAGGGCAGAAAGGGTGCAGTTAGCAATAAGGTGCCAAATGTGCCTCAGAACCTCGGTACGCTTCTCGCTATCAGACGCATTCAACTCACG